GAATGCTTCATTGGCGAGCACATGAGAAGCCATCGGCTAAAGATTTGACAGCTATCCTCGACGATTCTCAGGTGAGTATTATATATTTGCAATTTATATTGTACGTACATTAACTCGGCTCGATACATGCTCGTTAACATGTTGAAATATGATATATCAACTCGAAGTTCATGCTGAGTTGGTTGTTTCGATGGAAGAGGAGGATCAAATATATGTACGTGAATTACATGTTCGACCTATTGAAAACGATCCAGTGTTTGAGTCCGTTTCGAATAGAAATAGGGTACGTTTATTTAAGATCATTATTTATTCTGATTTATAATATTCATGTGTGGATTATTAATATTAATTGTCTTCTCTGTGTAGGAGCGTCATCCAGTAGAACGACGAGCACTTCCACGTAGGAGATCTCCTTCGCCTCCACCGATGAGATCTTTGTCGCCTCCACCGATGAGATCACCTCTACCGCCATTATCACATTCTCCGAGGAGATCTCCGTCTCCCGCACCCACCCATCTTCCACGTGGATCGCCTGCACCCAGTCAGACCCGTCATTCAGATGATTTCTTTGCACGCATGACTGGTATTATTAGAGAGGAGTTGGGAACGATGCGACGTGATTTTACGACAGAGGTAGTAGCACTGCGAGAGGAGATAGGGGTGCTGTGACGGGATTTCACGACACGGGTAGTAGCACTGCGAGATGAGATTGGAGTGCTACAACGAGATTTAGGAGAGCTTCATACTGAGGTTGCAACACTTCAGGGCGATGTAGCAGGCTTCCGAGGTTTTGTCTGAGAGAGTGTCGAGGAGACTGGTGTTCATCGAGATTGGTGGGCAACGACCGCAAGATTCAGTGCTGAAGGTCGGGAGGGAGGGGGTGGAGGTCGGGTCGGAGGTGCCAGAGGAGACTGGGATGGCCGACATGGAGGTGCCGGAGGAGGCCGAGATGGCCAGGGTGGAGGTGCCGAAGGAGGCCAGCATGATAGAGGGGATGGAGAGAGGGATAGGGTGCCGGAGGGAGAGGTAGGAGTGCCGGAGGGGGTGACCGAGGAGGTAGCCGAGGGGACAGCAAAGGTGGTAGTAGAGGGGGATGAGGGGGTTGCGGAGGACGAGAGGACGCCAGAGATGACAGATGACAATGTAGTATTCGTGTCGGAGGGGGCGACGAAGGTGCTAAAGGGTAAGAAACGTGCTGATGACGCGCTAAAGCTGATGGTCAGAAAGAGATCGAGATTGCCATCACAGTACATTGTTTCCCCATACACGGCTGAGGCGAAGAGAAGGGGGTTTGTGGATGGGACGTTTCCCAATCTTTTTCATGACGTCGACCTGATCAGACAGAAGGCGTTCGATGATTGGTTCAAATCCCTTAAGTCCGAGTAAGTATTTTATGATTTTGCTACTCTTTTTTTGTATTTTTCGTAACTTTTTTTCATTTTTTAGAGATAGTTATACCATCGGCTGTATGACCGTGCCCAACGCTAAAAAGTGGTTCGAAGATGTACTGACGACCTCAGCTTGGCTCGCCGATGATGTAAATTTTTTGAGTTTTCATTTATTATATTTATAGAAGTTCTTGGTTCATTTACTTAAACGACTCTATCTTTTTTGTTGGTGTTTTTTTTTTGTTTCAGCATATCGACTTGGCTATGAAATTGTTACGCGATCGGGCTCAGAGATACCCGAGATCTTATAACAGTCCTAGCCGAGTTATCCTGAGCTTTGAGTTTGTTCGTATCGTAGATATTGAGTATCACGAGCTCCTAAGTAAGGGGAATGAATATGTTCTGTCTGAGTACATGCTAGAGTGGGTGATTGGGCTACAGCCCAGGTGCGGAAAGCCGTGGACAGATTGTACACATATGTACATTCCAGTGATCGCGAACTCACACTGTTTTTCAGTGGAGATTGTATTTTCTAATTCCATTATGTATGTGTACGACTCTGATTATAGTTGTCTGACAAAAAGTCAACTCGAGCAAATACTAGAGCAATGGCTGTGATCGTGCCCATGATGGCTAGGCAGGCGATGATTCGAGTAAATGACAGATTAGCCATTGTGCGGAACATGACGACGGCAAAACAAGAAAGTTCGTAAGGATTTAAAACTTTTTAATTTTAAGATTTAATTTTCAATTATATGTTATTGAACTAATATATTCTTCTTCGGTTGCAAGGGCGACTGTGGCTTATTTGCAATAAAGTACATAGAGTTTTTGAGCATTGGTCGCAATGTTGATACAATAAATCAGTCTTGGATTGATATGTGGAGGCATAAATTAGTTTGCGACTTGTATGAATGTAACTGTGATCCTTAATGCATTGTATATTATTTTATTGAAATGTAAACGTTGTTTATTTCAGTATGATTCGTGTTGTAATATAATAATTTTTTTAAATATTTAATTAATAAAATATTATTATTTTAATTTACATTGTTGTTGTATCTGTAATCTCTCCATATTATCAGTTAATATATATCATTGTCTCACTTGTATTAAAGGAAAAAAAACAAAATATTATTATTTTCATTTACATAAGTAATTGAAATATAGCAATCAAATATTAAATAAACAATATACACACTAAGATAATTAACGAAATATAATTTTTTTAAAGGAATATAAATAATCAAATATACGTGTCAAATAAAGATAATTAATGAAAGAAATACTTAAACGAAAACTCGAAGTAAGTGCTATTATTTTTATTCAAATAAATAATCGAAATAAGTAATTACATATGAAATAATTAATTTTTTACTTAAACAATTAATATAATTAATTAAAGAAAAACTTAACCAATCATACATTTATTATATTTAACCTATTTTTTTTATTCAAATATGCTGTTAGAAAGAGTAATTAAACAATGTGATTAAAATTACATCCGATTTAAATTAAGAAAATAAAAAACATATTACAAATAGAGAATACATACGATTTATATAGATACTACATATCCGTCGAGTCATTGTTTAGTGGGATCTGACTTGTACAAAATCGACGTGTATGCCCTGCAGCGTCGCACCTCCCGCACTTACGCGGTCGTAGAAACTCTCCTGTATATAATATTCTAGACGTCCGTCTACAACCAGGAGTACGCGGTCGAATTTCAGGTGGCAACAAATTATTAAGTGCTACAATATAATTAGGAATTTCTCACTCGACTTCATTTGGTAGAGGAAATATAGTTTCGGCATACACTGCTTTCCAAAAATCAGCCATGTACTAATGACTACATAAACTATGTGGTGGAAATCCTCTATACATAGCCACTGCGACAGCATGCGCACATGGAAAACTCTCCAACTGAAATTATCTACACGTGCAGGTATTGTTATTCAAGTCTACAATGTATCCAACATTACGCCCGCATCTCACGGAGAAGCGAAATTGATCTAGTGGTTCCACAAATAGAGCTTTTGCCACTTCCAGAGTTTTGAATAGTCGATCTTCCTGTGCCGGAGCTAGCACACTCGTGCAATTCTGGGATTCCTCACGTCGGTCATAAAACCACTGTTGCAACTTGCTACGAATATGTTCAATCATTGCGAGAATTGGTAACTCTCGATCCTTCTTGAATAATGCATTGAGCGACTCCGCATTATTCGACGTCATCATGTTGTATCGATGTCCTGGAAAATGTGACAGTCCCCAATGTTCGACCCCCATATTTGATAGATATTCCCATGCACTTTCTGATTTATGTTCTATTTCGCTCATGAACTTCGTAAACTCTTCAAAGCCGTAAACTTCTGCAGCTCTCCTAAACAATGCAACGATGCCACTGCCCCGGTACCTAGTCTTCAGGTTGCCCTGAATGTGGTACATGCAATAACCACAATGTGCTTCCGAAAAAACTTCGGTTATACCATTTATTAATGATTGCCCCCGGTCAGTCACAAATGCAAGGTTCTCGATGTCCTCAATTACTTCTCTTAGCTTCGTGAAGAACCAACGCATTGCTAGATCAATTTCTCCATCGACAATGCCAAATGCTAGAGGGTAAATTTGAATATTGGCATCTTGACATGTAGCAATAATCAACTTCCTTTCATATCTAGCTTTTAGGGTTGTACCATCAACTAGAATTAGAGGTCGCGTCGCATTTCGAAAACCTCTAATGCATTGTCCAAGAGCCATAAAAAAATACTTGAAGCGATTCTGCCCATCGGTTTCAATAAAAAACGCCGAGTCAGAATTAGTTCTCACCATGTTGTGGCAATACCTGGCCAATTTGGTATAACTCTCCTCTGTCGAACCCATTAAATCTTCCAATGCACATTCTTTTGCCTTCCAGGCCTTCTGGTAACTCATAACTACCCCATACTCTCGACGGATGTCGTTGATGATATCTGTAGGTCTATAAATCGTCCGTGGGTTCTGAAACTTATGCATTATCTGTCGACCAATAAACCATGATCGAACTTGCCTGTGATCATTTTGACGAATACCCACTTCACAAGTATGATCCCGTGCATACTTGCGAACTATAAAGAACTCATTTGTGTTCATTTTTGTCGCTCTCAAACGCTAACTTCAATTGTTGTCCACACAAATAATTGTGTATGTAGACTTGTTTGATTTTTTTTACCTTAAACTCAAAATTATGTTTCATTGCAATTCGGTGCACAGCTTCTTGCAAATCTCTTTTCGTGTCAAACAATTGATCGACATGTCAATCTTCATCATCAAGAACTACACGTGAACAATTAGAAGACCGTATACTCGGCCCAGCATGTGAACTCCCACCAGACTCATGTCTCTGTCTGGATAAAGCAATCAAATCCTGATTTGTAAAAGGCCTTTCATCCTAGTTGTCTTGAACTTCCTCGTAAATCCTTTATGTAACGGTGACATCATGGCGAGTAGCAACTGTCCCAAGAATAAACACATCATCATCATGAGCAATCTCAACAGTATCCCAAAAATCATTCTTGTTACGATCCTCTCCATCGAAAACCTCGTGTTCACCCTCGGGAACATTTTTCTTCAACAAAGTTACGCAAATAGGAGTTGTCTTTCGACGTTGGTTCAATTGAATTACATGCTTTATTTGCACTTCAGAAGTAACCTTCAAAAGTGGAATCAAGATTGTTGAATGCTTTTGAAATAAAAATCTCAATTCCATATTGTACTGAGAGGAATCGACGTTAAATATGTTTTGTATTTCATTGTACCTTTTCGTAAACGATGTATTTTTTGTTATCGAAATAGTAGCAACCCCTTCTCTTTCACTCGTCCATTTCCATTGACCATTTTCTTTCCTTTGAAATTCGCCGAAGCAACAAATTGGGACACGTGCTTTTGCAAAACCTGCATTATGAATTAAACAATTATCAGCGATATCATAGTAATCATCAAAAATATACTCAAGATCGTTGTTGTGGAAGTGTTTCATAGTTTTTTACACTATAGAACACAATTAGTAACAAAAAAAGAATCAGTAAAAAAATTTAATTCGATTATTTATTTGAATAATTTGAATTAATATTTAATTCGATTTTTCATTTCACTATTTCTTTAATTAATTATCTTAATTGGTTAAGTAGGAAAATTATTATTCAATTTCATTTATTCTTTAAATATTTCGTTCATTACGTATATTATTCATTTCATATTTAATTATTCTATTTCGATTATTTATTTGAATAAAAATAATAATATTTAATTCGATTTGTCATTTAACCATTTCTTTAATTAATTATCTTAATTGGTTAAGTAGGAAAATTATTATTCAATTTCATTTATTCTTTAAATATTTCGTTCATTACGTATATTATTCATTTCATATTTAATTATTCTATTTCGATTATTTATTTGAATAAAAATAATAATATTTAATTCGATTTGTCATTTAACCATTTCTTTAATTAATTATCTTAATTCGACAAGTAAAAAAAATATTATTCAATTTAATTTATTTTTTAAATATTTCGTTAATTGCGTATATTATTCATTTCATATTTAATTATTCTATTTTGATTATTTATTTGAATAAAAATAATAATATTTTATTCAATTTTTCATTTTAATATTTCTTTAATTAATTATCTTAATTGGTTAAGTAGGAAAATTATTATTCAATTTCATTTATTCTTTAAATATTTCGTTAATTATGTATATTATTGATTTCATGTTTAATTATTATATTTCGATTATTTATTTGAATTAAAATATATTAATATTTTCATTTAAGTATTTCTTTAATTAATTATATTAATTGTTTCCATAATTAATTACTAAACATATATTTATTTCGCATATTTAATTACTAAACAGATATCTAAGTCAAAAAAAAATTTAAATTTCTATTTAATCTATCTTTAAATATTTCGTTCATTATCTTAACATATATATTATTTATTTCATATTTAATTACATTTTTAACATAAAAATTAAAATTAATTCAAAAAATAAAAAAAAATTCGGGTCCGATCTGGCCAAATGGTCCGTAATGGACCATAATTCGTTCCGGCGATCAGTGCTGGCTTTCACTTCGATTCTAATATTATTTTCTCTACTATTTAAAAAAATATACGACTTCAATAAAAATAAAATTAAATATTAGGAAAAGATACTTACCGAATTAAAGTGCTGAAATTTAACGAAAATTTTTTTTAAGGTTGATAACTGATAAGTTTATGAAATTTTGAGGTTAAAGTGGATGAAAAATGAAAGAGTTTTTATCGTCTTAGAGTAAACTAATGAAAAGAGTGACTTCGTTTTCAAATCTCAATTGAGAGGTGTTTGAATTTTAATTTGTAACTTAAAGATATTTTGGTCTTTTTAACAGATTTCCATTTTTGTAATTGTATAACTCATTTAAGGGTATTTTTGTCTTTTACATAAGAATAGGCTTTTGTGGTGAATGTCAAATTTTTTTGGTTAAAGTGGAAAATTGATTGTTTGACATGGATAATATTAAAAGTACCCCCGTATATTCAGAGCGCAACAGCGACGCTTTTTCATTACCTTTACCGTCTTTAATAAAAATTAAAAAAAAATCACGAAAGGGGAAAAACAAATTCAAATCACAGACGAAAACAGAAACTTTCGAGAGCTGTGTGTCATGAGAATGATTATGGTTGGTTAATTGTGCCATAAATAGGGTTTGTTCAATTCTGGGTCTTAATTGGGCTTTAACTCTGTTAAAAAAGAGGAAATTAGGCCCACTACTGTTAAAAATGAATAAATTAGATTATTGCTCTTGAAACAAATTAAAATATCTAATAGCAGTAATTAATACGCCCTAAAATCGTTCCAAAAGCTCCCAAAACCAATTGATTATAAAGAAAAACCTCAAATCACCCCCAAAGCCCACGATTCACCCAGCAAAGAGGAAGCATCTTCACTTACTCAAAGAAGAAGGCGATTCATCCACCCATTAAAGGTTCCACCCACCCGACACCGCTGATTATAGGCTCGAATCATGGTTGAAGAAAGTGAATCGATGGGGATGAAGAGAAAATCGAGTTTTGTTGAAGGAAATTCAAAGAAAAAGAGAGAAAAAATTATTCACAAGTTTATAAACCTAAGGTTAGTTAATTTTCCATTGTTTTAAACTTGCTTACGGCTTATTCGAAATTTATTTTGAAATGCTTACTTTCTTCTGTAATGTATCTTGCATTTTGTGTAAAATCAAGTTGTGTTTTGAGTCTTTAGATTTTTGTTATATCCCCTAAATCCCAATTCTAAAATGGCGATTTTCTCCAATAATTTCATATGCAAAATTGTAATTCAATAACGAGATCGAGTATTTTTGATTCATTGTGTCAACAGAGAGAGTAGCTTAAACTGTTCAAATGGTTGCAATGCTTCAATTCCAATGAGTTACATTCCTAAAAAATCTTCAAAATGCGAAGATTCCGATGCTACTTCTTTGATGACGAAGAATTTGAAGCACAAAAAAGAAGGAACCTTGATGAAGGTTCAAATCTGAATATGCAGAGAGTTGAGCTTTCCTACTATTCGAAGCAGAGCTTTGTTTTGAATCCTAAAACTCTAGATTTTGACCTGGGGGTTGTTGGAAACATGGATTATGGTGTTGAGCTTGAGGAGCTTTGTTTTGAATCCTAAAACTCTAGATTTTGACCTGGGGGTTGTTGGAAACATGGATTATGGTGTTGAACTTGAGGATAAAGAAGATATTGAGGGCAATTTTGGAGTCTTGGACTTTGAATTGATGGAAGAACCTATGGAGGTCATTGAAGAACTCAAAATTAGTCATGGAAAAGATCCTGGCAAAAAAATTATGGGGATTCAAGCTAGTAAAAGTAAACAAGAAGCGAAAAGTTGACAATTGAATTACTTGCAACTAAATCATTTACATTTTTGGAGATGAAGAAGAAACTCTTGAGAAAGAGATTTTTCACTTGATAGTGTTGCGGAGATGAAGAAGAAACTCTTGAGAAAGAGGTTTTTCACTTGATAGTGTTGTTTCAGTGGTCATAGACTTCCAGAGTAGTGTGACTTTGTGTTTTTGCGCACTCATGGCAAATAGTTTTACTTGTGAGTTTGTTACATAGCATGTGAGTAACATATTCTTGTCACTTTTCGAGTGTAAGCCACTTTTTAATTATGGTATGTTATAAACATATTTTTAATTATTATCACATGTCTAATGGATATTGGGGAATTATAAATTTGCTTTGACATGTTATACCTCAAAGTCGAACTATTGTAGCTACAAGCAAGATGCAAATACTATTGCAAATATATCATGATGAAATGGTTGGAGGTGCGCAAAAAGTGAAAATTGCTTTATATCTGGATGATTTCGTATCTTGCACGAATTTGATTATAGACTGACTTTTGTCAACAAGAAAATCACCATCATACTATTTTTGTCACTTTTTTTTAGTGTTTGTCACTTTTTTTTTTTGAATTTCGTCACTTTTCTAGTATTTATTACTTTTTTTTTGTCACCTTTTTTGAAAATGTGGAACTTTTTTCATTTTTGTCACTTTTTTGAGCTTGTCAATTTTTGAATTTTGTCACTTTTTTAGCTTTTTTTTTTTTTTTTTAATTTGTGTCACTTTTTTAAATTTTCATGTTATATTTTCTTAACATAATCAACATATAAATTGTCTTGGACATGCTGATTATGTTAAGAACCGTCACTACGCTCATGTAGATTGTTCTGGATATGCTGATTATATTAAGAATATGATTATTGATTCTGCACAAATGGATGGTATTATTTTTGTGTTTGTCATTTTTTTGAATTTTGTCACTTTTCAAGCGTTTGTGTCACTTTTTTGAGTTTGTGTCACTTTTTTCGAGTTTGTGTCACTTTTTTCACTCTTTTTGAAAAAAGTGACAATTTTTATAACAAAAGTGACATTGTGTCACTTTTTCATTTTAGACAGTATTTTTTACTTCCAAAAAATTTTTCATATGATTTTTCAAAACATTTCTAATTTTAAGGGTATTTTTGTAAGTTGCCCTTAAAAAAGTGGTTCTTTAGGTTAATGAAGTATTTTCTATCTCAAAAAATTTGATGTAAACACATAAAAAATGCTCATTTGTTAGTTGTTACTCGTATTTTAAACAATCAAAATAAATAAATACAAAATTTTGAAAAATAAAAAATTACCCCTCAATACTATGCATATTAGCAGAATAATTGGACAGAAATTCCAATTTTTGCATATGAATACGGAGAATAAAAATTGATCAATCTAGTAAAGAATTGATTTGGTAGTTTATTAAAAAGAAAATTTGCCATCTTTGTGCAGTCACGAGCTGAAGCAGTGCACCCATGGGAGATTGGCAGGACACAAAGAAATCGTTTGAATTATTTGGTAATCAATTAAATTTTACGAAAAAGATATAAATATTCTCGAATAGAAGGAAGAACGGAAGGTTATGTAAAACAGGTGAAATCGTCCTTATCTCTAAACTATTAAGTTGGCCAAAGGATTGCATCACTGCCATACCAGAATCCGATTCCCTCGCCCCCATTAAACTCCTCTTTTTGAGTCTTCTCTTCCACATTCATCAGATTACTCTCAGTACAGGAGTCTACAATATTTTAAATGGCGGAAGCAAAGCTTTTTGAACTCAACAATGGCACAATGAAAGTCAACGTCTCCAACTACGGTTGCACCATTACTTCCCTCTTGGTGCCAGACAAAGATGGTAGTTTATTGGATATATCGTTCGAAATCCCCATTTTTTTAGTTCTTCTGTGTGCACTTGTGTAGGTAATGTTTGATTACTTAATTTTTTTGTGAATTTTTTGAAGGGAAATTGGCTGATGTTGTTCATGGATTTGACACGCTTGAACCCTATCTGGTGAGTTTGATTTGCGTATCACTCTTACTGAAAACACTTTGGGAATTTTAGTGCTAGTGGGAATTTGTTCATTAATGGATTTTAAATGAGTATAGTTTCGCTATAGGTGGATGATCAACAGTATTTTTAACCCAATCTGTGGGTGACGAGTTAATATCTGTGCGTGTTGGATTTGTTTGTGTAGAAAGGTGCAGCACCTTATTTTGGCTGCGTCGTCGGCCGGGTAGCAAACAGGATCAAAGATGGAAAATTTACACTCAACGGCATTGAGCACTCCCTGCCGATCAACAAGCCACCAAACAGTCTCCATGGTATTAAACCTTCTGAAATCTTCATATTTGATGGCCGTCTCTTAGATGCGCTTAATGCATGTTTAGTATGCAGTATTAGATTACGCTGAAAAATAAAATAGACCAAATTTGGTCATTCATTATCTTCTAGTTTTGTCTAATCCATGTCATTCTTTGATTCATTTGTATTCATTCAATCTTCTTGCCTTCTTTCTACATTACGATTTTGTATCTATCTTCGTGCTTTTACAGTTGTCCGAAGAGAAGTGAGATTCTTTATATGAGTTTTCCGAAGCAAAATCCTATTTCCAGCATTTTGGATTGTTCATTTTTCTTAATATCTCATGTACAGGTGGACACAAGGGATATGACAAGGTTATTTGGGAAGTTGCTGAATATAAACAAGGCAAAAATCCGTCAATTACTTTCAAATATCATTCTCGTGATGGTGAAGAAGGTACTCTCTCTCTCTCTCTCTCTCTCTCTCTCTCTCTCACACACCAGCGCTCGCGCACCTATAAACATGTACAAGGTTGCTGCCTCAGATTTGTGATAAATCGCAGGTTATCCAGGAGAAGTCCATATCACTACAACTTACACGCTTGTGTCTAAGACGACAATGAGGCTTGACATGGAAGCAGTTCCAGAAAATAAGCCGACACCCATAAGTCTAGCTCAACACACATATTGGAACTTAGCAGGTCATAATTCAGGAAATGTTCTTGATCATACAATTCAGATATGGGCAAGGCATATAACTCCTGTGGATCAGAACGCTATCCCAACCGGTGAAATCATGCCTGTTGAAGGAACTTCATATGACTTCACCACAGAGAATAAAATCGGCAGTTGTATCCATGAGGTTGGAATTGGATATGACCATAATTATGTGCTCGACTGTGGAGACGAAAAGACAGGGTTGAAGCATGCAGCAAAATTGAAGGATCCGGCTAGCTTAAGGACGTTGAATTTATGGACCAGTGCCCCTGGTATGCAGTTTTACACTGCAAATTATGTAAATGGTATCGTCGGTAAAGGTGGTGCTGTATATGGAAAGCAGTCGGGGGTTTGTCTTGAGACGCAAGGATTTCCTAATGCCATCAACCAATCAAATTTTCCGTCTATTGTTGTCCAACCAGGCGAAAAGTATAAACACAGCATGATGTTCGAGTTCTCAGCTGAGTAGGGTTCAACCTACAGTAAATACTAAATTCCCTTGTTCTTCTTCTATTAGGAAGATTTGTGATGAAAATAATGTAAGAGTACTTTTGATAAGTCTATGATGTTTGAACAGACTCCTGAATAACCTTCTGTATTTAAATACAAAAACTTACTGAGCAGAGACAAATGCCATTTTGGTTAATAGCTTGTGCTGGGATAGAAGTGACTATAGACTAGCCTGTTTTTGCCCCCTTATCTACTATGGGTGGATCTCTTCGATCCGCAATCTTGATCAAATTGATAGAGAATAAGAAAATAAGCTTTTTCTATGGGAAGCGACTATGAATCTCTTGTTAAGCATCCTTCTCCAACCGATACTTTCTCCGATATATGTTTGCAAGTTCAGTTACTCAACCTGAAACTAAGATTTTCCTTTAGCAATCCAGGATTGCAAAGATTGTTATGAAGTAAAAATCAGTACAGGAATTCAAAAAACTTCTTGCTAACCGCCTTTATCCCACAAAGAGAATAAGCTCTTCCTTAATGCGCCAAAGCCCCTTGTAGTGTCAAATTGGATGCTTCCACCACTTCCCCTATAACTCCTATTGCTATTACGACTTTTTACATTTTAGGTACCTCCAAATCCCTTCTGCTTACCTTTCTTCAGGACATGAAAATATCATTCCAAGACTGAAGTTCCTAAATGGGAAGAGAAGGGATGGATGTTCAGGCCATGAGGAGGAAGACTTGTTATATTCTTAACACAAGCAAGTTGATGATCCAATCCTTCGCAGAGCAAATTCTACCCTGAAGGAACTGGCTAAACTCTAGACATTATAGGAGTAGAAATTTCAATCAACTCAGATACAATAACATTTTTTATGTCTGAATCACCCAGAGTTGGTTAATGTAGCAAGCTTTAAGCATGGTTACCAGACTTGACCTGGTCAATGTACTGAGTCATTAGGTCATTTCTGCTTAGTTTCCAAAAAAAAAAAAAAAAAACTACAAGTCTATACAGGTCGGCGATCAAGGTACTCGAAGTAGTTGCATGTATGAGGCCAAAAAAGAAATTAAATTCTTTGAAGATGGAAACTCAAAAGATTAGTGTGTGCCAACAATTAATACCCGGATGTAAACAAATAAATATGTTGAATTAACGTGTTTAAGCTAATAAAACAAACAGTACTGTTTAAAAAGGTTTCTTCCAAATATGCTCTTCGTACCGTGTCCCTGATTCTTTGGGGCGATCATGATTGCATTTCTTGCAAACAACATTCCTCCTATAGTTCAAGAAATCACAACTGCAGAAAGAAAAACAGAGTATTATCATTCAGTTAAGCATAAAATCTAATGATTCATACAGCAACCATGAGATGTGTGGAAATAGACTCACTCAGGGCACTCCCATTCCCCGGGATTTAGTTGCCTCTTGGGCCGAGGCTCTTGGCAGCGTAAACACTTGCGGTTGCTTGCGAAATTCATGAAATCACACCTGTAGAGCTCAAAATGTGATGAAATACCCCAAGATAAAACTAGTGAACTAAAGAACCATTGCAAGAATATTTGTAGGTGAAAGCTAATCATTCGGTACTTTATTAGTAATATACACACAAATTTTAAGATCCTCAAGTAGATGTCAAAGTCAAACAATTCACTGGAGAAGGATAATTTAATTAGTTCCTAAAATATTCTGACCACATTCATGAATGCAAAGAAAGCAATTAAAATCTAAATTGTCCATTATTTGTAAACATAAAGGATTAAAAATATGTGCCAGAAGCAATATCATTGCTTAGTTTGTTAATTAATAGCATAATTAGGTGGAAAATAAGCTGGACAGTTTATATGCAGAAATAGTGTAGAACTAGTCCAAAATTTCAAGTGCATAAAATAAAAAATGGATGAAGTAATAGCTATTAGCCACTACCAAAACCATCAAAACATGTCCTAAAAACAAATACACTCAGCAACATGAAAAGTTGATTGAACTTACTGAGTGCAATTCCAATCTCCTTTTTTCATTTCAGCGTCATCAACAGAAACCCTGTTAGGTCCTTCTGCTTTGCATTTCAGGCATCGTATATTTCTAGAGAAGTTGATAAAATTGCATCTGCACAAAGTGGTTGTTTGTAAGTTGAGTTGTGAATGACAATATGACTGCTTCAAAAATAAACTGCTTGAAGTGACGGCAAAAGAGAAGTTTTAGAATAGATCACAGAGAACAGGATGGATGTCCCATGCACAAAACCCAAAGAGAATTAATTGTAGCCTAGCACCAGAAGACGAATACCACCACAAAAAGAGAGAGGTATATTAACAAATGAATAAAACAAAGAGACTAATTGCACAAGAATCCACATGCATCAGCAATACACAGCACACAAGATTGAGAATACAGTTGCTGAAGGAAAATATGGTAAAACTCAAGACATGATAGCAAGACAAGCAAACTGCATATACACAGACGCTGACATGCCTGTTAAAAGTACTTTTCAATCGTTTAAGTTGAACTGCTTTATCTAAAATCTTAAGATATTATAGAGAGAGGATATTTATTTATTTTAATTTTATCTTTAATGTAACCACTCACTTGCAAACCACGTGGATTTTTTTACCAAAGGCTTTATAAACAGGTGACTGAGACTTGAAACCATAATATTTGCATGCGCGAACACTGAGTTGAACAATCTCATCTAAAATCTTAAGCTACTATAGAAGAAAGAATTTATTTGTTTATATATTATTATCAAATTTTATCAGAATGGATGCCGAATGAATTTCTTTTCATCAATATGAAGCAATCACCTTCCATTCTCAACAATAATTAGACACGATATGAAGTATGGCTAGTGCACAAGTCATGTGCAGTAAAGATGAAAAGGATAAATGCCTTCAGTAATAAACTACACGGAAGTAAAGACTATGGAAAATTTCGTGCTTAATGTTTGAAAGAATTAGGACACTTCGATTTTCAAGGGGAGAAAAAAGATTTCAATCCCTCAGAAGAAATGGGAAATGCATAGACCAAGTTCGTCATCATCATCACGAAGACAAGTCAAAGATAAAAACTAAGATAGATATTAAAAAACCAGAATCATATCAAAGAACTTGCCATTTCCTTGTGAAGGTGAACCTATATTCATGCTTTATCAAGAGGAACTCTTTAATCAAACTTTCCACTTTAAATTTCATTTACGGGATTCTCCCCGAGTTGCTGGTGTTGATTTCATGTACCATTTTCCCCCTTTTTTACTGCTTGACACACAAATTGGCAATATTTTCCAAGCGCTTCTAATAGACATAATATCAATTTGGCAGCTAATGTGTGTCTCACAAAATCACTTATCAGGGAAAAGATAAGTCTTCTTGAAAAAAATATGCTTATTTTCAGACAAAGGAGCTTATTAAATAACACTCAACATTCCGGTAGATCAAGAAGAAGTTTGATTGTGATGGTGATTTTTATCATCCGTCTCTGGTTTGCCAACACCTTATTCCCGGTAGGAGAAGATGTCTTAAGTCATCCTCTTTCTTTATAAGCTGTTAAATTTGATTTCGTCACTCCGCCCTAGTAGAACTTTGTTTTGGCTCTGTTGAACTTTACGTCTTCAACTTATTGAAATTTTCTACAAAGGGCCCTCCTAATCTCCTCGGGGAAGTAATTATGCTGTGCTATGTAATTCCATATATCATTTTCAAGAAAGTTACAACTATTTGACATGACCAAGAATAAGAAAACTAAGCCCTTATTTGGCCCCCATTAAATTAAAATTCATTTTTCTCTCTCTTTTTATCAACCACACATTCTTCAATAAAATAATATTACACGAAAACCTAAAAACTTTTCCTTTCTTTTTAATCACACATTCTTCAAAAAATTACTATTTCTTTCATTATAATTCGAAATAATGGAGCCCAAACAGGGGCTAAGTGTCAGTATCCTTGTTGTAGTTCAGGGGGAGAAAGGAATGAAAAGGGAAATGTGTCTTGTCACTTATATTTGGTATTTTTGTTTAAATAACACGTCTTCCACTAAGAAATACCAGCATCGACAAACATACATAACCCAAGACTCTTCAAAAACAAAAGCATACATAACAGGTATGCCAGTCTGCATCCCTCTTAAATTTTCTTCCTTCTTTGTGTATTTTCTAAAATTTTAGAGAGAGGGAACATCATACTGGCTGTCAATAATATTATAATAATTCTATGTCTTAACAAAACAAATATTTATGCTTAAAACTCCAGAAGTAAACTGTGAAGCACAAGTTCTAAATAAGGTCTAGGCCAAATCAGAACATCCAATACACGGGGTGCGGGTGGGTTTGGGCAGATATCGAACCTCGAGGATAGTCATCCCCAGGCCCATGTTAGGCCAAGGACAAGAATAAAAAAATTAACAAGTTCGATAGCTAAATGATTGGAAGTATTTTAAGTCTCAGTAAATGTATGATATAACATGTCAAGTTAGTAAAAATAATCTTCGTATTTCAATTTAAGAGCTGAACATCAGAGCCTCCCAATGCAGAGATGGCAAAAAATATTGCAGTTCTATACATGCAGTTAGACGCATGCCATATATATCTATATCAAAATCATCTGCACCAAACCAAACAAATAGCTCATCATAATACTTATGGCAGCTACAGAAAGCACCAGCTCTAGTGGCATGCCTAAGTTACATGCATGCAGAAATTTAATATGCAGGTTTCTGACAATTATTTTTCAGATGATATCAAAATCAATTGACATTGCGATCACTCTAATATTAAAACATTAAGTTTCTGAAAGGTCAGTCAGCACTCACCAAGAATAGAGTTATACGACCTACTAAAGAATTCAGAACTTACTCAGAGCAAATCCAATCCCCTTTCTTGATTTCAACATCATCCCCAAGAACACTCTTGGGTCCACCTTCTCCACATTTGAAGCATCTTACATGTCTAGCGAAGTTCATGAAGTTGCATCTAAGAAGCAATTATGGCATAACATCAGTTACTGGTGTAGCAGAATAGAAACATTAATGTAGCCCACTTAATTGCAAAACAAGAAGTAGAAACAACAATCATCAGGATGAAATGGAGACAGTATGTTCTGGTGGCAGAAATAGTTTCTGCTTTACTGTGCTAAAATGCTTTCAAATCCTCATGCAAGTTTGACTAAAGAGAACAGCAGGGAGTAACATGCTCAAGATATAATCCAACTTTTTGATGAATATATCTTCAAATGCAATAATTACTGAGAAAGAAATATTCCAGAAAATGGAATAATTTGTGAAACTCAAAAGTTATTACTCCTACACAAACTTAATGAGAAGGTTTTCAACCCACACATATATAGGGAAAAGGTCAAGAAAAATTAGATCAAGTGTACTACAAATTATCATAATAAGAGTTTTCTAATTCAACTTACTTGGTACACATCCAGTCTCCTCTTTTCATCTCTACATTTCGTGACCTTTCATCGACTACAGAATCAGAAGACTGTTTCTTCTTTTGAGAAGCTATGACAACAGGCTTTGAAAGTTCAGGATCAGGAGGTGTCTCACTGAGCTCCATCATCTTCGAAAGCAATTTTCTTGCTGATAAATCAATAAGCTCTCTACCTGGAGGCTTCTCCCCTCCAGAAATAACAAGTGGATCTAATGCATAGAGCAATAAAATACGAATGATATCAACTGTACGTGCAGCTCCTTCAGAGTCATTAACCAGAACATATGCTTTATCACAGGATCCACGCAGATTGCAAGCACCGCATACCTGCAGTATCCTTCAGTTAAACTTGGATTCATATCAACAATTATACCAAGTATAATTCATATGCTTCCAGAGAAAATATGCTTACATAAATAAGCAATGAAATGCATAGTAAATCAAAGGGAAACTTACGTCTCCTTCATCAAGTTTCAGGTATGCTCTCAATCTTTTGGCCGAGTTAACAGCCTTTCTAAAAAGATTAGGACATCCTTTATCCACAACTGCCTGAATGTCTTCTGTAGACAATGATCTGAAACATACATTCCACACTCACAATCTTACTTACCTATAAATTTCATTTTTACCTCTCCTCGCATATATCTGAGTAATAAATTCTAGCATGTTCGGCCTGGCTTAGATGGTAACAAAAAAGGCAAAAAAAGAAAATCCTTTTTTGGCTTTTAAGCCAGACAAAGCATTCTAAGCACGAAAACTGAAGTTCCCTTACTTGAAAATGTCAAAGCGATCACGACCAAATCTCAAACAAGCATCCTTCAGCAATCCCATCTCCGTATAAGCGGCCCGGTCCATACCACCACCGTCTTCCGACACCACCGTGGATGGAGGAGTAACCGCAGCACTTTCAATGAGGTATCCTTTCGTCTTTAAACGGTCGACGAAGTGTACCCATTCAGGCCAAGGATGGTATTGGTGATTAGAATTGACAGAAAGCTCCGGTTCTATGCTGTTGGCGGAGATTATTGTAGATTCGGAGTCCAGCGTGACTGCATATGAACTGTATCGGTGAAAACACAGTGAAATGGAAGAAGAAGGGAATAGTTTGCAAAATCTAAGTGGAGGAACTTGAGTGAAACTGAGCGAACTGCGGAGAATTGAGGTTCCTAAAAGAGTGTATAATCTTGAAGTTACTGTCATTTTCTATCTTCCTTGGGCGTGGGTGGGGTGGAGTGGGGGTTTGCGTAGGGGTTTCAACTTTCAAACCAAGAGAGCAGAGCTATCGGCGAAGAAACCCGACTGTGTCAAGGGTTTTGGATAGGGCTTTTGGAAGTCCTAATTACCGATAAAGGTATTATTTGGCGGGTGTTGTCTCTTGACCCATATCATCCGGGTCGGGTTGAATGCAGATTGAGTTCACTGAAAACAAATATGAGTCATGCTACTTGTAGAATCATTTTTTACAATAATGGTTGACAATTATATTTGTCAACATCATATTCATCAATTTCAATAAATGTTTCTAAAATTAATGGACCAGATTTTGACCACATCAATGTTGTCATCTATTATTGTCAACAACAATTGTACAAGTAGAATAATTCAACAAATATATGAGATTATAGTAACTGAATAATTAATTAATATACGAATAGAAAATATTATGAATAATGCTAATTTGCCAGGAAAGTTTGGGCGAATGCAATGATAGAAGATATCGTGGTGGGAGGTGATTTGATGTTGGAATTGATTCAAATAAATAACTGAAAATTGGAAAATGAAAAGATGTGTAAAAGTGGAAAATGAAAAGATGTGACTTCGTATCAACTTCAACTAAATATTCGGACTTGATCCGATGGTCAAATTATAAAAGTAAATAGACTAACTTATTTTACTCATCGAGTATATCATTGTGGTATATTTGGAATCTCAAAATCAATTCTGAATGAATGAGAAATTGCAATCCAAAATTGAAAAAATGAAGTGTTGCAACCTTTCGAAAGGATGCAGATTTTGACCAAATGTTGCAATTTTTCGAAATGATGCATATTTTGACTCACACTATTTCATTTGCACCCCTTCTACATCTATAAATAGGACCATATGGACATGATTTTGGGTACACCAATTGCATTGAGCACTTATTCTCCTTTTACAATTATCTTCTTTCTATTTTTATAGCATTTTCATGCATTTCCTTTATAGATGGAAAATTTTGTCACAAGTTCACCGGTTTGTTGTGGTTGGAAGTACTGCTACCACGAGTTGTGAATCCATTATAGATTGGGAGACAAGTGTCATTCATTGTGAGCATCGCAGGGCAATTTGTCTTAAGAAAAGAGATAACGTCTTGACTTAGATTGTTATCTATTTTCTACTATTTCTTAATTATTGTTTTGCATAATCATTTACCACATTATATATATATCGAAACTCTGTCCAAATTTCCATATAAATTGTGTTTTGATCACGCTCCTGCAGGTTAAAACTGGCCGAACAAATATATAAAAAATTAACCCTTACATAGCCCGTTTCTCTGAGTCGTCTCCAACAAATTTAAGACAAATTTTTTTTTGTCTTTTTGGTTGGTTGTGGACAAACCATTACTTTGCTTGAATAGTGCTCTGTGTACTATTCCTCCACCGATATTATTATCATTTTGTTGAACTTCTGTTTGTGTAACAGAAATGGCTACCATCGGCATTTCGTCAAGTAAAAATGATTCCAATAATGTGGTACCCCGCATGGCCATACCGTTGCATAATACTACTAACCCACATGGGGGAAAATCGAAAAAATTTGCAGGAGTGAACTTCAAGAGGTGACAACTAAAGATGTTGTTTTATCTCACCATTCTTAATTTGGTTAAATTTCAAAAGAAAATTGCACCGTCTGTACAAGAAGGGGAATATAATCGTGAATCGATTATTAATTTAGACGCATGGAAACACTCGGACTTCCTATGCAAGAACTATATCCTAAACGGATTGGATAATACATTATATGGAGTGTATAGTTCAAATGAATCAGCCAAGGAACTATGGGATTCTTTGGAGACAAAGTACAAGATCGAGGATGCCGGAACAAAAAAATTCATTGTTGGCAAATTTTTGGACTACAAGATGGTGATTCCAAAATCGTGATTAGCCAAGTGCAAGAAATTCAAGTCTTGTTGCACGACATTCATGCCAAGAAAATGGAATTGAGTGAATTATTCCAAGTGGCTGCCATTATTGAGAAACTCCCTCCCATGTGGAAAGATTTCAAAAAGTACCTCAAGCACAAACGCAATGAAATGAATTTGGAAAAATTAATTGTGCGCTTGAAGATTGAAGAGGACAACCGAAAAACTGAACGAAGTTTCGGTTGATCAAGATGGTGCAAACTTTGTTGAAATGGAACCAAATGCAACAAACAAGAAATGAAAGGCTCCTAATTATGCACCGCAAAGAAACAATTCCAAGAAAGTTAAGAAATTCAAAGGGAATTGTTACAATTGTGGCAAGACCGGACATCGTTCAAATGAATGTCGAAAGTCAAAGAAGAATGCTCAAACCCACATGGTTGCAAATGACACTCTATCCGACGAACTGCAAAAATGAGTTTATTTGCAATAGTGTCTGAATGCAACATGATTGGAAATACTAGAGAATGGTGGATTGACACCGACGCTACCGGCCATGTGTGTGCGAACAAGGCGATATTCTCCAACTATCAAGAATTGAATGGAGAACAACTATACATGGGAAACTCTATAAGTTCTAAAGTTGAAGGACAAGGCAGAGTCACTTTGAAGATGACATTCGAGAAAGAAATCGTCCTCAACAATGTCCTACGTGTGCCGAAAATTCGAAAGAATTTAGTGTCCGGATCTCTACTTAGCAAGAATGGTTTTAAACTTGTATTAGTATCCGATACGTTTGTGTTGTCTAAGACCGAGATGTATGTAGGGTAATGATACATGTGTGATGGAATGTTCAAATTGAATGTTCTTACAATTGTACCGAAGCAAGTCATTATGAATAAAACTATAAATTCTGTTTACTTGGTTGAACCTTCATGTTTGCGGCATAATCGATTAGAACATGAGAATTACAAATCGTTGCGCAAACTAATGAATCAAAGTTTAATGTGAAATATATGTTGAAACAAAATTGGCTAAAACACCGTTCCATTCAATACAAAGGAACACAATCCCTCTTAATTTGATCCATAGCGATGTATGCGATCTAAAATATGTACAAACTCGAGGTGGTAAGAAATACTTTATGATATTTAATGATGATAGTACAAAGTTTTGTCATGTCTTTTCTTTTGAGAAGTAAAGACGAAGTTTTAAATGCATTCAAAACCTATAAGGTTGAAGTTGAAACACAACTTAAAAAACAAATAAAGAATATTCATAGTGATAGAGGAGGTGAATATGGAACACCATTTGAAGAATTTTGCTCCGAACATGGAATTGTTTATCAAACAACGGTACCTTACTCTCCTCAATCAAATGGTATTGCAGAATGTAAAAATTGAACACTTAAAGAAATGATGAATGCCGTGTTAAGAAGTTCGGGTTTACCTCGGAACATGTGGGGGAGGCTATTTTAACGGCAAATAGTCTTCTTAATAAAATACTTCTTAAGAAAATAGAAGAGACACAATATAAACTATAGAAATGTCATCATCTATCCTACTAATACTTGAAAGTATGGGGGTGTTTGGCTAAAGTTGAAGTACCTAAGTCTAAACAAGTGAAAATCGATCTTAAAATGATAGATTGCATATTTATTGGATACGCCAATAATAGTGGAGCATATCGATTTCTTGTACACAAATTCGAAATATAAGACGTACACGAAGGGACCATAATCGAATCAAGGAATGTGATATTCTTTGAAAATATTTTTCCTTGCAAAGATAAGGAAAATACGAATTTTAACAAGAGAACATATGAAACTATCAATGGAACTTCAAATGAGGAAAGATCAAGGCGTAGTAAAAGGGTTAGGACTTCCAAGATATTTGGTCCAAATTTTCTAACCTATATGGTGGATGATGATCCAAAGACTTTCAATGAAGCACTGTCTACACCGGAAGCACATCATTGGAAAGAAGCCATCAATAGCGAGACAGATTCTATAATGCAAAACCATACGTGGGAGTTGGTTGATTTACCTCCCGGTAACAAGCCTTTAGAATACAAATGGATATTCAAAAAAAAAATTGAAACCTGATGGATCCATTGATAAATATAATGTCAAATTGGTTGCTAAAAGATATAGGCAAAAAGAAGGACTTGACTTCTTTGATACCTATTCACCCGTAACTAGAATCACGTTGATAAGGTTGTTAATTGCAATTGCGGTAATATATAATCTTGAGATTCATCAAATGGATGTAAAAATGACATTCCTAAATAGTGAGTTAGAAAAGGAGATTTACATGCAGCAACTTAAAGGGTTCGTTTCTCCTAACCAAAAACACAAAGTGTGTAAACTCGTCAAGTCCTTGTATGGATTAAAACAGGCTCCTCAACAATGGCACCAAAAGTTTGACAAAACAATATCGTCAAATGAATTCAAGATCAACGAATGTGACAAATGTATATATATTAAAAATATACCGAATACCTATGTAATTGTATGTCTATACATGGATGATATGTTAATAATGGGCAATAGTCACGAAAGTTACTTAACACCAAAAGAATGCTAATAAAGCATTTCGATATGAAAGATATGGGTGTGACAGATGTAATTCTAAGGATAAAAATCTCTCAAAAGCAGGATAAAATTGTACTTGCACAATCTCATTATATAGAAATTTGACATGTTTGAGGAAAGTCCTGCGAGAACTCCTCTTGATCCGAGTATGCTCTTAGTCAAGAATACGGGAAAAAGCATATCACAAATAAGGTATTCACAAATAATTGGTAGTCTTATATATATTACAAACTGCACTCGATCGAATATTGCTTTTGCGGTAAATAAACTTGGCAGATTTACAAGTAATTCAAACAATGATCATTGGAAGGCTTTGACGAGGGTTCTAAGGTACTTGAAGGATACCTTAACTTATGGATTACACTTCACAAAAAATCTTGTGCTACTAGAAAGATATTGTGATGCGAATTGAATATCCGATATGAAAGATTCTAAGTTCGTTAGTGGTTATATATTCAGTATTGGTGGAGCTGCTGTATCATGGAAATCAACAAAGCAAACGTACATAACTTGATCAATGATGGAATTTGAGTTTATTGCTTTGGACAAAGTTGGAGAAGAAGCAGAATGGCTTCGAAATTTCTTAGAAGATGTTCCATGCTGGCCC